TTCAATCGCACCGGTAGTAATAAGATAGCTTGTTTGCCTCGAGTTCAGGACATGCAGGAGGTCAAGAGTTTAATTTATTCCGAACGGGCCAAGCCTTTCTTTTGACTGTTATCTCGTGAATTAGTAAGTTTATAGTCCGACTGGGTGCGTCGATATCATGAGTACAAAGCATTGTTGATATTTATATCATATAATCATGTTCTTGTCCAGAATGTACATTATTGGTCGCATATAAGATGTTTTTCCATAACCTTAAACATTGGTAACAATAAAAGATACTTTAGTGTCAAAATCGAGGGACTTTGCATGATAAACGCATTGGTCATACATTTGTAATTAGCCTTAGGTCAGCCTATATTACAAATGTTTTGACATTCTTCACATGTGATGTTTCATGGCCTGCATTATGTAACACGACATATCATAAATATAGAGCTTTACTTAACTTTAATATAGAAACTATAATACTGGTAGTGCCAGGATAAACATATTATAAATACAGAGCTTTACTAAAACTTTAAAGATAGAAACTATAATACTGGCAGTGCCAGGATAACTGTATTTCAAAATGATGACTGTTTTTTTGTCGGCACGTCAAGCAAGCAATCATTAATCAATCATATGTTTAAATACACACGTGCGTTTTTCATAATATTTTATTTGTTGTCATTGTGTTTGTGTTGTTATAATTCTCATTGGAAATGAGACTGAGTATAGTTTTTACAAGTCGGTTCTCGTTTCAATTTTAGCACACTTAATGCTAGTATGATTGTTTCAAATCATTACCTTGACGAACAGATCCATCCCTTGCAACCTAAGCAGCTAATAAGTTTTTGTAACATAATAATATATACATGTATAATAACCCTTCGACTTTTATCAGTGCATTATGTTAATTTGACAAACAGGCAAATCCTTTACGACTTCCGACATCACTAAATTATTTAATATTACATAATGAGATGACATGAAATTACTTCTGGAACAAAAACAATGTTAAATTCGGAAACAACAATGACATGCAGAATGATGTTATTTTTTACTACTAGTATAATTCTTTTAAATTACATAATGAGATGACATGAAATTACTTCTGTAATAAAAAAATGTTATATTCGGAAACAATAGTGAAATGCAAAATGATGCTATTTTTTTTATTACTTATCGAAATTGCTGTCCATTGAATAAAACAAGACATCTAGCTATCATTGTCCCGCGTAGTACTATAAGCTATTAAATATAAACGTAGAACTAAAATGTTCCTGATCTTTATAAATAAAACATTGGTGTATAATAATTTAGATTTGTTATCTATGTGTCCATTTCATTTAAACGTGTTTACCATCGAATTGAACGCCCACATTCCGACCGGACGATGCTACGTATTTATGCATCCCTAACAGAAAAACGATCACACCTCTTTACCATAGGGTTTTACTGTTATTTACTGGTCAATTGACCCATGGGTTCTCAGATCATTTACATCTGTAAATTAATTCACAGTTGTATTGACTAGGTACGATATATAGCTTGATATTAGTTAATTGTTGAACAACTAGATGCATGTCTTTTTGTCATGTGTGTCAATGGGTTGCTGTCTCATTGACGTATACCCTACGTCTCATTGACATATACCCTACGTCTCATTTCTTCATTGTACAAAACGTGTAGAAACTTTTAATACCGATCGATCTGTTTTTCTAATTGAAAATGCACGTGCAAAATCGGAAATATGATATTTACTATTTAGAAATGTCTGTTTTTAGTAGGAAATTTAACAGTAATTTCTGTCTATGTCGATCTTACACTTTTCACCCTTATTGAAACTTGTATCTTTGATGAGCATTTGCAACCACTGGGAAGATACCACTGCCGATCAACGTTGCGTATACGTACCCGATGGTATCCGCATCAGCCAACTATTATTCAGTGTTCCGATCGTGACATGATCTATCAGTGATGTACCATCTGTTTTTCTTATACTTCACGTTAAAATGCCATATTTTGATTGGCTAATACGGGTGTTAATTTACTCTATTACCCTTCATGGAGACGCTTGATCAAGTGTGCGCTTTATTAAATACGACTCTATCCTATGGCAACTACTATATTACCCTTCACGGAGACGCTTGATCAAGTGTGTGCTTTATTAAATACGACTCTATTCTATGGCAAATACTCTATTACCCTTCACGGAGACGCTTGATCAAGTGTGCGCTTTTTTAAATACGGATGGTTGTTATGTACAAGACGTCATAGATCGTCATAGTTTATTATTTTGATTTGAAATTTAATCGACAGTAATAACAGAACATTCAGTATAATAAATTAAATAACACATATCTGAGAGGGTGAAAGAGCAGATTGTTACCCCTCGAAAAGACATTGTCAACCTTGGCTTCGCCTCAGTTGACAATGTTTTCTCGGGGTAACAATCTGCTCTATCACCCTCTCAGCTATGTTTTATTTATATACTGTACACTTACTGTTCATTAAGTGTTATAACCATTCTGAACTGAGGTTTCTCCACTTTCGGTAAATCTCGAATTGGCCAAATTTGGCACACCATTTTGCATTTTTTTTATGCCCCACCTAGGAGCATTATGTTTTTCGGTCAGTGCGTCCGTTCGTTCGTCCGTCCGTTCGTTCGTCCCTTTGTTCGTTCGTTCGTCCCTTTGTTCGTTCGTTCGTCCGTCCGTCTGTCCCGCTTCAGGTTAAAGTTTTTGGTTAAAGTTTTTGGTCAAGGTAGTTTTTCATGAAGTTGAAGTCCAATCAACTTGAAACTTAGTACACATGTTCCCTCTGATATGATCTTTTTAATTTTAATGCCAAATTAGAGTTTTGACCCCAAATTTACGATCCACTGAACATAGAAAATGATAGTGCGAGTGGGGCATCCGTGTACTATTGACACATTCTTGTTTTTTTTTTTTTTTTTTCAATGCTGTTCAATTTCGGAATTGGTTTTGTTTTGATTCGAGCGCCACTGATGAGTCTTGTGTGGAAGAAACGCGTGTCTTTTATGAGTTCTTACTACCTTTTTTTGTTATATAGTATATTTGTAGCGTTAAGCATCATCAAGGTCGCATACAATAAACTGACATTTGTCAAAATTAATAGCGTTTAAAATAACTTGTTTTGCTAAATAAAGAACCGTGTCGTTGAGTCAACGCCCGACCTTCTTGTCGGTGATACTATTTTAACTGTATATATGGACTTTAAAGCAATACATATTTCTGGTTTTGATATTTTTTATATTTTGAAAGTACTCAAATAAAATCTGTTCTAATGAATCTTTGATACCTTCAAATTGAACATACGATAGTATGGTACTAGAATATTTACGTATTGTGACAAATCTGCAATAAGTGTTATACAAAATTGAATATGAATGAATGTTGTTGAATGTATGGCGTAAAATATGATTATACTGAGATATGATAAAATATAGTATTGCACGAATCCTGATTTCATAATCATAAAAACAAACAAAGAAATTAAAAATCGGAACAATTGTGCTTTAAAGAAATAAAAGCATACAAGTACAGTTGAAGCGTGAAGCAATAATACTAAGGAGTAAAATCTTCCAAAATGGTCTTTGTAAATGATTATATTAATAGTAATTTTTGAAAAAAGGGAAAATAAGTTAAACGCTTCATTAAAAGTTTCATTTATTATTACGACTGTTCGTCTAGGATCAGGTGTGACTTTAAGGATGTTTGCTCCTTTTTGTATTTGTATTTGTTTTTTTCGTTTGTTCTTTGTTTTTTAATTTTTTAAAAAGGTTTTAAAATGTTAAATGAACGAGAGAATCATTTCCCGCCAAATTTTCAATGGCTTTTATCTCAATAACAAGGACACGGATCTTTCATTTTTTCTGCTATTTCAGTTCCCGTTATTTATATACATCTTACTATCAATTTATAACAGTTTTTTTTAAAAAGCTTGTAATTTTGAAACAGAGTAGCAAGCATCCTTAAAACAGAGAAAGATTTTTGCAATCCTCCATTTTAGTATACAAATAAACATATAAAAACCTCACGTTTCTTCGAGGTTGGTCTATATGATCTTAAGCGAACGTTTGTTTTAATCATTTCGATGATATTTCGAACATTTCGAGAATTTCGTTTCATTTTACACTGATACACATTTTGTATGGTAAAGTTACATTGTCTGTTTATATAAATGTTGCTTACAAAATAACATAGTCGTTAGATTTCAAATTCTTCATCTTGAGACTACACAGATGTATTTTTGAAGGAATGGATGGTAGTTTTTATCGTCCAATCCATGCCTGTTTTTATGCTTCATATTTTCAAACCTTTAAACCACGAAATGGACACACGCAAAAATAAAAACACCCATTGACTCATCATGACTTACAATTTAACAGACTTTTGTTCAACCGCTTTATCTAACAAACTACACGTACCCATTGAATATTTAGTTTGAACCAAATATAAATACATGACATATATACATATGACTTCACTTTACATACATTCTTACAATCTTAATAACTTATTTTTAAAAGATTTCGTGAAAAAGTGAAAATAACTCAGTCTCTTTATAAATCTTATGAGTCCGAAGCAAAATATATATAAGTACCGAAACACACGAAGAGCTATATGACTAAAGAGGACCTCAAAATAAGAGCCAAATCCATCTAAGGCTTTGAAAAATTGATGTGTTGGTAACTTACGATTATGGTGATGTGTGAGATAAGAAGGAGTAGTAAGAAATCATTAAAACTACCAGACTTATAATATGTTACGCCAGACGACCGTTTCGTGTAATACTAATAAGTTACCTGTTTGTTTTGTAATTGATGATCTTACAGGTAAAATTCATCTTCATTTAACTTTTGCCCTTTTATATTTTGATCTTCTTACATTTTACCTACATACCTGTCACATTCTTAACCTTGTACTGTACAAATTAAAAGATAAATCAAATTAATCATACATAATTTGTTTAGTATTAATACTTTATAATTTCAGATGGCTTTGATTGGGGATGTTTAATGTGAATATAATTTTATGCTGCATGAACTATTTGGATTATCAGAAAAGATCTCTATTTGATTGGTAAGATTTCTCTGTAAATGCTCGCACACTTTTAAGTCGATAAAATAATGACTGGTAGAAGAATTCATACATCAAACATGCTTTTAAAACAATTAACCTCAACCATGGAACAAATATGGAAAAAGAATATACGTCAGAAAACCATTAAGGGCATACGTAACAGTTTTGATCCCACGGTGATTTTTTTACGAAAATTTGCATACAAGCTATTTTTCACCTAGTCAATGCAAATATGTAAATTTTAGACATTTACTCAAAATTTCGTTTTTTGGAACATTTCTATCCTTTGGATAGACATACCTAACTTTTTCAAAAGATAAACACTATAGGATTTTTGTAAAAAACATTTGGAAAATCTCTTTTACATAAATATGCTCTATATTTTTATAACAATTCTTTGGAAATAATAGTTTCAGGATTTTAGGGAAAAAAACGGATTTTTTTGCTGTATACTTATCTAATTTTAAAAAATCTCATCGGTGACTTTTTCATAAAAATTGGTACAAATAATCTTCATACGTAATCATTCCTAATGTCATTTTAAGAAAGAGGGGTCCACGAACTCGCTTTCAAGTTATATCAGTCTGAATGATAAAAATAACTCGAAAAATGCATCTTTTCCCGATATGTCGCAGTTTCACGTCGCGAAAATTAACATTTTACGTTGGCAACGTCATTAACTCCCCTGTAACTGTATCGTATGCCCTTAAACACAGTTTTTAACCTTCGCACACTCACACAAAAAAACACACACACAAAAACAATTTAAGAATTGAATGCTTCTTTTTGTAACTTCATAGGGGTGTAAAAGCGTTGACCGAAGTACATTTTGTATGAAGCGCGGAAGCGCTTCATTCTAAAAATGTGCGCACGGTCAACGCCTTTACAACCCTATGAAGTTACATAAAGAAGCATTCAATACTTATAATTACATTTTGTAGCTAGGATCATGAAAACACGATTTTTTTCAAGTTTTTATTTAATTTACCTGTGCACTTTATTGTGGGACCTCGTGTCATCATGAATGATAAATTTCATTGTGTAATGAAGTTGATTAAGGAATAACGCGAGATTGCAGTTAGCCAATCAGAATAACGTATTATAATTAAACATACATCTAATGTAATTATAAGAATGTAAAACTCAGTGTAGTGCATATTTTATGTAATCAATTTACATAATTTTGTATTTGACTTTTAATTCACTAATTCACTTATATCCTACAAGTATTCTATACAACAGGTATTAATTAGAAATATTAGATACAATATATAAGATTTGATGTGTAAATTAACGAAGATCAAATAGCATTTTGACCTTCTTTTAATTCTTTATATGGCAAACAAATCATTTAATTGTTTTGTCAATATATATCAAAACAACAAATATATATATATATATATATATATATATATATATGTCTACATTACATGTCCGTTTGGAAGGATGCACAGGGGCGGATCCAGCCATTTTTAAAAGGAGGGTTCCAACCAAGGATAAAAAGGAGGGGGGTTCCAACCATATGTCCCCATTCAAAAGCCTTGGTCGTCAAAAAAGGGGGTTCCAACCCCCGGACCCTCCCCCTCCTTTTTGGATCAGCCACTGAATGCATATACATTAAGAAAAAAAAACTTTTATGTACCTTAAAAAAAAATGATGCAGACACTATGCTTTAGGGTATACCCGAATTATTATCTTTGTTTAATGAAACGTTTGAGTGAGTAATCGGTATTAATATATCTACAAATGTAATGTATACCTTTGTAGACATCAGCATAGAGTATGGCCTGAAAGAATTCTTTATTTCTTAATTCTTCTGATCAAAATTGGAAAAAAGATTGAGTCCTTGCGAAAATTGACAATTTAGTTAGTATACGTTATTTAAAACTGCATGCTGCATGTATATTGTCCAAAGAAAATTTTAATATCTTGTTAACCATACAGCATTGTTTTCCTTCCACGACTAATTTGTATCAACGGGGGATCGAACTATGGACCACTGGTACAGTAAGCCTCCAAACTTACAACCATGCTAACTGAGCTCAATGAGAACTTTGTTTCGTCCCCTTACTGACGGGTTATTTTGGAGGAAAATTCATGCTCAACTGTTACAATCTTTATTTTGTAGGCTATATCTCTCTTGTGGAGAGTTGTCTTATTGGCAATCATACCACATCTTCTTATTTTTATATAGAAAAAAATGTATTTAAATACTATTCATTCATTAAATGATGACTTGTTACTACAAGATTTAAACAACAAGAAATCAACACTTCACTACAGACAATTGTGAAAATTAAAACAAAAAGAGTTGGAAGATTACAAATGTAGAATTTGATCTCAAAAATCGTAGAGATCGACAAAATCATGGCAAAAAAGAAAGAAAAAAAAAGACGAAAAGAAAAACAACATTCTACAAAACAATGCATAAAAAACTAGACTGACCAATACGAACCCAATAAAAAAAGGGTGATATTAGGTGTTCCGGAAGGGTAAGCATATCCTGTTTCTCATGTGAAACCCGTTGTTTTGATTTAAACTACGCACATTTCCGTAAAATATCAGGTATTCAGGAAGTTTTTACATTTCCCGTGCTACATGCAGCACCCATTCCAAATACTCGATGACATATTGTTTGCATACAGATAAAATGTCTAGTTGTGAACCTACTGACTGTACAGATTTGCCTAGTTGTGAACCTACTGACTGTACAGATTTGTCTAGTTGTGGACCTTCTCTACTGACTATATACATTTGTCAAGTTGGGAACCTACTGCCCTTACACATGTTTTCTGCTCTTTGGTCGGGTTGTTGTCTCTTTGACACATTCCCCGTTTCCATACTCAATTTTATTTGATCAGAAACGTGGTTGGACGCTCAAAGTATTCACGATGTCTTGAACAATTTTCTATTTTTAGAGTTCAAAAAAGTTTTAAAAAAGATGCTTATCCATGATCATAAGCCTACAGTAGCTGAAAGTAAGTTTGAATAAAAATTTTAAAAAATGCCGTGTTAGATCACCTTTGTCTGGCGGAATTACAACATTTGTTTTACTACCACAATATATAATTTATTAACTGAACATACCTTTTTTTTTAAATAGTATCATTTTAATCATGTCAGTTCGTTTACTTTTTTTGTTTGTTCACTTTGTTGTTTAATCGAATAATTATATCATTGATGAGCTACATGATTACATAATTATACCTCAACATCAAAATAAGTCTGAAATGTGATTCAAAGGGGACAATATAAAACCATAAGTCTCGAACAAACAGAAAATACAATAAGTATTGTCAAAGAAAAAATGCCGCGTAAGAGGTTTAAATTTGATCGTTTACATATAAATGTCAGTAAATACCAACAATGGAGATGCAGAGATCATCTGTTTTTCTTTGAATGCATTGCAATTTATTTCAGTATACAAAAATGTAGATTAAAAAGTATCAAAAATACCGAACTCCAGGGGCGGATCCAGCCATTTTTAAAAGGGGGGTTCCAACTAATGAACTCCAAGACAAATTCAAAAGGGGAAGTCAATAAAAAACTGACAATAGCAAACGTTATCAATCACTAGAACAAGTGAAAAACTGACTTGGTACAGGCATGTATAAAAGAAAATTGTGGACTAAACCAGGATTAATAGCTAGCTAAACCTCCCGCTTGTTTGACAGTTGTTCATAGTTCCGTTATATTGACAAAATTGGGTAGCATTAATATTGTCTAGTTTGAACTAACACTCATAGCACCTCAACTTATTTTATATTCATGCAATATTCTCATTATTCAAACTATTTCCTTCAAATATTACATCATGTTAAAGTTTTTAATATATCAAGTTTTTCTTTCAGTCTATGGTTATGGAATCTTAGCTAATGCAATATGTTGCATATGTTCAATTGGCGGAGCAGTGATTTTGCCATGCGCAAAACGGTTTTCAAATGCATACCACGTGTTTTTGTCTATTTTTATGGGGTTAGCTGTAGGAACATTATTTACGGGAGCAGTAGTACATTTGATCCCTGAGGTATGTCAGTCAATTAGTTAAACTGAGGTCTAAATAAATAGTTGAATGTTTCGAAAATAAAGTTTCTGTGCAGCACGAACCTTACCTGAAACCAATGGTGATTTCAGGATCAGCTCCGGAATGGTAGAGGCTTCTTTTCACTTGATTCCTTGTGTGTGATCTTTTAAAGAACTCTATTTTAAAGAACTTAGTGCAAGTTTGCTGTAAATAAGCATTTAACATTTTTTACGCAAATGTATATAAAACACGTGATTGGGAGCGGATACAGACTGTGAAACACACAAAGCGAATTTAGTGGAAGCCCCTACCAATTCCGGAGCACTTGGTTTGTGCAGCTCAATATTTAGTTCTCTATATGAGGTTTTGTGGACAGTATTTTTGCATTCGTCATTCCTGGGTATTTTATTACAAATGTGTCTGTCTTTCTGCGACTCATTGTTTTTCGTGTCCCTTTATTTATATATAAATGTATATGTTATTCAAATCAGTTTATTTTATGTTGTTGTTTACCATTTAAATTTGTCACAAGTATCATGTATTACTTAATGACAATAGAGTTAGAATTATTATAAATATTAATTATAATACCTGTTGAAAGTAATTCCCGTTTTTGTCTATACAGTATAAATAAACGATGTTACAATAAGATGGTTTTCTCAGTTTATTGTTCTATTCATTTCCCAACCATTTCATACTAACATGATTTAATCTAACCAATAAGATCAGTGTTAACAAGTGCATTTCTCATTTGCTTAACGTCCAGTGGCAAATATTTCATGAATATTCCGGAGAAGAACGAATAAACAATAAATCCAACAGGTATGTTCTGAGGGACAATCTGGATGACGGACAGGACTTTAAACTACAATTAAAAAATGAGTGTTTTTTTGTTAGAGATAGAAATTTTGGTTTGCAACAGGCAACTAACTGACGTTGTACTCTGCTTACACGTGGCATTGGATTTAACGTTCACATCCCGGTCGGAATTGCATAAATAGACATCATAAACAGCCAAACGGACGCCCTTCCTTAGAATGTGTTTTATTGCCAGCTAAGAAAACTCCAGGGATGATGTTATGTCTATTCCCAAGTTATTATCATTAATTAAAGATGAGTGGTGTTGTAGGCTTTAGGAATTCACAGCCACGGTGCACACGAACACGAACATAACGAAACAGAAATCCACCATGAGGAGGATCATCATAAGGAATACCATGTGGATGACTATATTTGGTACTGTATGGTTATCTTGTTGGGTAAGTTGTAATTTTAGACGGATATTACAAATCTCTTGCGCGCGCACAATACAAATATGGAGAGGAATGTTATTTCATTTGAACAAATGATTCAAAGTAAAAACAAATCTTGTCTTTAATTACCGATCGTTGACATTTAAAAACTGGTATTTCTTAGTATTCAAAGTAGCAAACATTTCTTCAAGCTCTGGGGTTTAACTGATACTTAATAACGAACTACTCATCGCCTTACTAATTTAAGTTTAATCCACAAACTTTAAAGCTAACGAACCATATATCAACGAAAATGTTGCGCAAGACAACTAACATAATTCAATAAAAGGCAACAGTAGTATTCCGATATTCAAAAATCGTAAATACATTATACACATCAAATAACAAACCCTGAGAGAATCGCATGGACTCTAAACGAAGCAAGACTGAGTGATTCGACAGGATTGCCGTATTCTGCTATGCAGTCATCATCCGTCATGCCAATCCACATTCAGTCAGACTATAAATAGTCATCATCCGTCCTGCCAATCCACATTCATTCAGACTAGCAATAATCATCATCCGTCATGCCAATCCACATTCAGTCAAACTAGCAATAGTCATCATCCGTCATGTCAATCCACATTCAGTCAGACTAGCAATAGTCATCATCCGTCATGCCAATCCACATTCAGTCAGACTAGCAATAGTCCTCATTCGTCCTGTCAATCCATATTCAGTCATTTTAGCAATAGTTATCATCCGTCATGCTAATCCACATTCAGTCAGACAAGCAATAGTCATCATTCGTCATGCCAATCCACATTCAGTCAGACTAGCAATAGTCATCATCCATCATGCCAATCCACATTCAATCAGACTAGCAGTAGTCGTCATTCGTCATACCTACCACATTCAGTCAGACTAGCAATAGTCATCATCCGTCATGCCAATCCACATTCAGTCAAACTAGCAATAGTCATCATTCGTCATGCCAATCCACATTCAGTCAGACTAGAAATAGTCATCATCCATCATACCAATCCACATTCAGTTAGACTAGCAGTAGTCATCATTCGACATGCCAATCCACATTCAGTCAGACTAGCAATAGTCATCATCCGTCCTGCCAATCCACATTCAGTCAGACTAGCAACAGTCATTATCCGTCATGCCAATCCACATTCAGTCAGACTAGCAATAGTCATTATCCGTCATGCCAATCCACATTCAGTCAGGCTAGCAATAGTCATTATCCGTCATGCCAATCCACATTCAGTCAGACTAGCAATAGTCATCATCCATCATACCAATCCACATTCAGTCAGACTAGCAGTAGTCATCATTCGACATGCCAATCCACATTCAGTCAGACTAGCAATAGTCATCATCCGTCCTGCCAATCCACATTCAGTCAGACTAGCAACAGTCATTATCCGTCATGCCAATCCACATTCAGTCAGACTAGCAATAGTCATTATCCGTCATGCCAATCCACATTCAGTCAGGCTAGCAATAGTCATTATCCGTCATGCCAATCCACATTCAGTCAGACTAGCAATAGTCATCATCCATCATACCAATCCACATTCAGTCAGACTAGCAGTAGTCATCATTCGACATGCCAATCCACATTCAGTCAGACTAGCAATAGTCATCATCCGTCCTGCCAATCCACATTCAGTCAGACACGCAATAGTCATCATCCGTCATGCCAATCCACATTCAGTCAGGCTAGCAATAGTCATTATCCGTCATGCCGATCCATATTCAGTCAGACTAGCAACAGGGAAAAGGACATAAAGGAGGAGTTATAATAAGGGCCATTCTTTGGCCCTTTAAATTTCAAAAATAGTAGACTTATTCATGCCTTTCTACATTATGTTAATTTTATTGATAAATGAACAAGGTACAAATATAATCTTGACACTTTAGTGCAGAAAGGTCACTTATGATGTCAGTATGACGTCATAAACATGTTGAAATATACGTATTTGACCTAAAATGGCCTTTTCGCACATAGTTTTTGTCACACTATATACGAGCAACAGCTTTACTCATAAAGATATTTTACACACATTATCATCTTTGTGATATATGTACATTTTGTAGCATAATATCTTTAAATCAGGGTTATACTGTTGCTCACCTCTTGTTATTAATGATAAGATATCAAAATGAGGCTATTTCGACAGATTTTGATTGTTTTACACTAAATGTAAGAAGTTTGAAGCCCTCATGCAGTTGTATAAGACAAAATTGAAAAAAAAATGATACTAATGTCCGACAGACTAATTTAAATATCTTATGAACATTAAGAGGATGTTGTTCGGAAGATTATGTATTCTAATTTTGTATTTTTGAATTCTAGAGGCCAAACAAATAGGCTTGATCATACCTTCTCCTTTACATATCAAACGACTATTCTGGTCTCTAAAGATTTTAGACCGCGAACACATGTCGTTTGTGAGTTGGACTCAGAAACATCGTATCGATCAACTAATTAATGATGGTGACCGTAAAACTTTGCAGTTCAAAACACAACAAGACGACTCAAATAAAGTTGTAAAAATCAAAGGCAAACCTTAAAAAAAATAATCCTCGGAAAAGTCAGCATACTAGTATTATATTGTGTATGCAGTAAAGTAGCTACGGGAACTCATATACATATAAAAATAAGAAGGTGTGGTATGATTGCCAATGAGACAACTTTCCACAAGAGTCCAAATGACACGTAAGTTAACAACAATAGGTCATCGGCCGGCTTCAACAATGAGCAAAACCCAAACCGCATAGTCAGCTATAAAAGGCCACGTAATGACAAATGTAAAACAATTCAAATGAGAAAACAAACGGCCTAATTTATGTACAAAACAATGAACGAAAAACAGATATGAAATATGATATACAGCAACAAACGACAACCACTGAACTACAGGCTCTTGGTTTGGGACAGGCACAGACATAATTAGGCGGGTTAAACTAGTTTGCTGGCGCCAAACCCTTCCTCTAACCTGGGACAGTGGTGAAACAGTACAACATAAGAACAAACTATAAAAATCAAGTTGAAAAGGGCTTAACTAATCAGATCGATACAAAGCAGAAAACATCTAACGAAAACATAGACCGGACGTGGCAGGGTATTTATGCATCCCCACAACAAAAAAGACACTAAGTACAGATCTGAGAGTACTCTCGGTTACTAACAGCTAGTTCAAAGCCAATAACAACTACTAAAAAATCATGTATCTAAGACAGTTTGTTAACTATATAAAATGATGCAAAATATTTTTGTCGTAGATTGGAAAGCAGAAAATTCCCTAAATATGATTTTTTTTTTCAATCGAGGATAATATTTATTACGCAAGTGTAAACATTATGTATTGTTTGTATAAACAAAAATGACAAAACCTACAACATTATTTTTTAATTTTTTTGTACAAATTACACTTCGGAAGAATTATATTCAAATGTAGGCAAATTTTATTTATTAGTGCTGATGTGATTTGTTTTTCAGGAACATATTCATTTTATCTTCTTGAAACAGTGATGTCTATTGTAAAAAGGAAAAAGGTAATTTATCAATTCTTTATTGATTAGAGAACTGTAAAAGCACTGCTTGTATTCATTACATATCTAGTCGTATTTGTATATCCCTGGCTTTCAAATCTTTATGTTTCAGCGTTCCTAATGAAGGTCAATAAAGAAAAAGCTTCGGACACATGATATTTAACGTGTTATTTTCATTTTCTAGCTCTTCGTCGATACCTTTGGTGGTGGACTGTTAGCTCATGAGGGTATCACCAGCTCAGTAGTCAGTAATTCGGAACTGCAGGATTCATAATATACATTAAAAAAGTGCCAGTTGATAAATTAGGAAATTGTTGATTAATTACGGTTCTAACTTCCTCAGGCAATGATGACCGTAGAAGCATTTGGCCTTTTTTTTTGGGGGGGGGGGAGGGTACCATTTGGTCATACTGCTCCTTACATGGTTACAATGTTTTGTCTTCTTTTGGTTTAACATGCTATTAATGTTTTAGCATTCCTTGTGAAGGTAAATTAAGAAAAGTGCTTTGCATTCACTTATTTTTAAAAGTGTAATTTTCATTTATTCGCTTTAATAAAAGAATCGACAAAAAAGGGATTTCATAGATTGACAAGTATTTGTTTTTTAATAACTACATGCAAATTTCGACCAAACAAACAATTAAAAAAAACTACATGTAGAAAGAATCAGGAAAATTGATCATCCATCTGAGTAACTATGGAAACTTACATCTTGGATATTGAATAGAAGAGAAAGAAGGTGTGTATCAATTCATGCCACAAATCAATAATATAAAAACAAGAAGTAAAGAAACAGCACTTTAAAAACTGTTTTTAATCCCAAAGTGCAATGAGGCCTAGCCATTCAACATCAAACAAAAACTAACACCTCCCTGAAAGTTCAAGACTGGTCACTAGCACTGGTTTGTGTGGAAATTATTGCTACATTTTCATCACTCTAATTGATATATCAATATTAGATGTTGGTAAAATTTGAAAATTTTAGACTAAACGAAGAATCCGTAAAATAAAACATACATCTAATTTAGGATATAAAATTCCAAAATCATTGTTGTTCTGACTCTTTCAAATGTTCTTGAGAAAAACATAACAATTAAAGATCTATTTACAAATCAAAGGATTTTTTTTATTAAGACAGGAGTATATCTATTTTTACAAATATGTTCTTATTCGAAAATTTAAATTAAATTGTATAGTACTGCAAATTATCTTACTTTTGCATTATTTTGTAAAACCAATAGTTCAATTTCCAATTTGTTTCCTAAACTGGTTTTTCCAACAAAAAAAAACCAAAAATCTTAAAACAATATTTGTCACTCATCAAAGATTTTCTCAAATATGATTAATACAAAATTGAATTTAGAACCTCAAAACTGTCGAAAGAAAAGAAAACCCCATCGTCTATCATCTAATATCCCATACATTTAATGGAAATATGCTTGTGCCATTCTCGTATACTCGACACTAAACAGCAAGTTTATATTTCCGTTCGGATATTTGTATGTGAGGTAATAGATGAAGTAGTATAATATTTTAACATTTAATCTGTAGGGGATAATAGCAGACCCTGATCCAACACCGGAGCCAGTAGTAATGACAGTTGACAAGCCGAATGGGGATTTTCATAAAATGGACGAGGTAATTTGTTTAGTACATTGTATTTATACACGTTTATAAAAAAAAATATAAACTTAAAATTTATTCTACAAATAAATATACACATGCTGTGATGCATATTACCAAAAAGTAAAAATCACAAAAATACTGAACTCCGAGTAAAATTCAAAAGGGAAAGTTCCTAATAAAATGGCAAATTCAAATGCTCAAACACATCAAATGTATGGAAACCAACTGTCATATTCCTGGCTAGGTACAGGCATTTTCTTATGTAGAAAATGGTTGATTAAACCTGGTTTTATAGCTAGCTAAACCTTTCACTTGTATGGCAGTCGCATAAAATTCCATTATATTGACAACGATGTGTGAACAAAACAAACAGACATAATAGGTAAAAATGTCAAAAATAGGGGTACAGCAGTCAACATTGTGTTATAATCTTAATCACTATAAAAACAAACAAATATGTAACAAAGAAGCACAAAAAGGCATATAGACAAAGCACATTAGCAAAAATAAAAGACAAGAATACAAAAATTTTTAACTGACAATCTTCGTCTATTTTGAACGCATCTTTTCAATCGAGCTTGTAAGAAAGGATATTGCAAATACAATTAAGTCTGCTTTATATAATGTTGTAATCTAGAAATTGACGAAGTTTTTCAATTGTAAACTTTCTATTTCTATGTAGCAACATTTCGGCATATATCTCTTAGTTCGTGGTGTATTTCAGTTTGCGTTCCCAATCATGATTCCATTTTTAAAATGAGGGCTGCTGATTACAGTTTTATGGTCACCATTACGAATTGATTGACTAATACGATATTTGTGTATCTCAAATCACTAGCTAAATGTTTTCGAAGTCTTAGATATTTCGAATAGTCGTCTACACTTTCTGTTTACAGATTTATGTCCTTTTCCCGATTATGAAATGTTGTCTTATTGTGGGTTCATATGGTGGGTGATGAATACATAGCAATGGACGCACCCGGTATCGAGCCCTTTTTGATTTCATGCGATTCCCTCAACTTGTTTTTATACGACCGCAAAAACATTTTGTGGTCGTATATTGGTATGACGTTGGCGTCGTCGTCGTCGTCGTCGTCGTCCGAAGACACATTGGTTTTCGCACTCTAACTTTAGTTTATGTGTATGGATCATATTTTACCATAAGGTTCAATACCACAAAAGGAAGGTTTGGATTGATTTTGGGGGTTATGGTACCAACAGTTAAGGAATTAGGGACCAAAAAGGGGCCAAAAATAAGCATTTTTGTAACTTCCAGACATAATTTGTGTGTTAGTGTATGGATCTCCCTGACATTGTACCACAAGGTTCCATATCACAAAGGGAATGCTGGGATTGATTTTGGGGGTAATTGCCTCAAAATTTTAGGAATTAGGGGCTAAAAAAGGGGCAAAAAATAAGCATTTTTCTAGTTTCATGACAATTACTTGTGTGTAAGTGTATGGATCTTTCTGAAATTGTACTACATGGTTCCATATCACAAAGGGAAAGCTGGAATTGAGTTTGGGAGTAATTGCTCAAAACGTTTAGGAAAAATGGGGCCAAAAAGGGGCAAAAAACAAGCATTTTTCTAGTTTCATGACAATTACTTGTGTGTAAGTGTATGGATCTTTCTGAAATTGTACTACATGGTTCCATATCACAAAGGGAAAGCTGGAATTGAGTTTGGGAGTAATTGCTCAAAACGTTTAGGAAAAATGGGGCCAAAAAGGGGCCAAAAAACAAGCATTTTTCTAGTTTCCAGACAATAACTTGTGTTCAAGTGTATGGATCTCTCTGATATTGTACTGCAAGGTACCATACCACAAAGGGAAGGCTGTTATTGAGTTTGGGGGGATGAATCATAAGGGGGTTCAAAAAATTTGGGGGGGGGGATTTTTTTTCCTTTTTTTCCTTTTTTTTTCTTTTAAATTTTCCATTTTAAATTGGTTATTCTGATTTATATATAAAAGCAAATAATAATGATATTGTTTGAATAGGTAAATTAAAATTTTTTTAAATTCTTAGACCACATTCATTCTGTGTCAGAAACCTATGCTGTGTCAAATATTTAATCACAACCCAAATTCAGTGCTGTATCAAGCTTGAATGTTGTGTACATACTTGCCCCAACTGTTCAGGGTTCGACCTCTGCGGTCGTAGCAAGCTGCGCCTAGCGGAGCATTTTATTGTTACCTTGATTTGTCTTCCTATTCGATTTATGAGATAGGAACATCGATAAACTACTTTTAGTAATGTTGCCCTCGTTTTTCGTTTTTCTGTTGCTCAGTTGTTTGTCTCTTCGTAGGGTTTTGCCAATGGTATCGTTTAATTTTCATCGCCTTATCGTTTTTCAATTGTCTTCTTGGACACCGTTTGTCTGTTTTGCAAAAATAGCATTCTATTTGTTTTAAAAATAAAAATTGTTCAAGTTTTCATTTAATAAGATCTGTCTCAATACGTAGAATATTTATTGAAAAATATGTTTTAAATTATCCCCGTACTTCATTTAGATTAGTTCGAGCGACTCAAAAAGTATGAAATCTGTAAATTCACAAAAAGAATCAGGTAAGCATAATTACATTTGTATTGCTTATGTTTTGTTATGTCAGAATATTTTATAGAGAACGCTTCGGCTTTTTACAGTTAGTGTTCCTTAAATTAAATTCAAAGAAAGAGATTGTAAACATTTGCCTACCCACGTTAAGGGCGATTTGAATCAGATGTGGATACTTCAATTTCAAACATCTTACAACATAAGTCTTAGTACAAAACAAATTGGACTTCGTTAACCTTTGCACTAGTATTCCTCATTCAAAACTTAAATGATGATTGAAAGACTTAGTCAAACGTTGTTTCATAAAAAAGGAATTGGCAACTTTTCTGATTATAAAGATACTTGACTTTATTTTGTAACATATGGACGACGTGTTTTTCAACAGACAATCTGTATTCCTATGGGAAGCAACGTTGCTCCTATTCTGTTCTTTCATTCAGTTCTTTTATTTATACGACGATTACCTTACACGGAAGTTAATCAGGAAGAAACCAGCATTACCCTTTAATTTCACGTTCCGCTGTTAAGAAGAAATAAATTTGGTGCGTCCGAAGCGCTTTTTAGGATATACAATGCATATTTGTTCTGGACCGTTTTAATGTTTGGTTAAGGAATATCAAGAACTATATGTTTTAAAATTTTAAAGGTTTTAACGCATACAGTAAACTTTTGCATTGTTTTACCTTTGACTGCGTTAAATCAAATTCAAGTTATAGAAGTCCCCGGGATATCGAAATGTCTTCCATAAAAATTTTGGTGCACTGCAAATTTACAGATGTCGCCATCATGTCTCAGCCAAAAATAATAAACTCACTGTATATCTCGCTTGTATTCGCAGGTGTTACATCTTTAGCACTTATGATTATAATTGGTGATGCAATACACAACGTAACCGATGGTCTTGCTTTAGGAGCAGCTTTTTCCAGTAGTATAGGAGAGGGAATATCACTTACCATCGCAATATTTTGTCATGAGTTGCCACAAGAGTTAGGTAAGAAATTATTGTAATCCTGGTTTCTTAAAAATTTTAGGCTATTAAAATGCCTGTATATAGAAACAGTATCCTCTGAAAAATATATATATTTCTTTATTGCGAAAAAAATGAAAGCTGTATTAGTATATCTGCGACATGACATAGTTGTGACATGAAGATCCCTTGAACCTGAAAAAACCCTTAAATTAATTAAAAAAAGGTAAATTAGAAATAGTTTCAAACTTTTTCATACACTTTTGGGAATCAAGGGATTTAAAATTGGCGATTCTCATGTACAAGATACTTCAGAAGAACAACTATAATCTCCATCCTGACCAAAACGGAAAAGATATCAAACACTGATAAATGAATAGACCTGATATTAAGTTGTTGAGTGTTTTTGTTTCATTATAAAAAAAGATAATTCATAGAATCTTTTAACATAACAGTTAGAAGATGTGTTATTATTGCCAATGAGACAACTCTCCACCAAGGACCAAATGACATAGAAATTAACAACAAGAAGTCAGCGTAGGCCTTCAACAATGAACAAAACCTATACCACAAAGTCAGTACATAAAATCTTTTAACATGGCCATTCAACTGGTCATATAATTCGGAGTTTTGGGGGGTTTTGTTAAATAAATTTCTTGAAGAAAAACACTTTAAGTTTATTTCAAGCTGCAGACATTTATTTATAGGGACTTGTACTATTTCTTTGAAGGTGATTTTGCTATATTGCTGAACAGTGGAATGTCATTTTGGAAGGCAATATTGGCGAATTTGTTTGCGTCACTGTCAGCCTTTATTGGATTTTTTGTCGGTGTTCAAGTAGCAACAGATGAAACTGCCGTTAAGTGGATTTTTGCCTTTACAGCTGGGAACTTTTTATATATATCTTTAGTTGACATGGTAAGAAATACAAAACTAACTCAAAGGGAACTTTAAAGGGAAAAAGGGTTGGAGACTTAAAGGTTAATGATATTAGGTTCTTGTACTCGTTCGTTCAACAATCACGACAAAGAAACATCTTGAGTTAACATGTGTTAATGACTTTAACATTGCATTTCTTTTTCTTTACACCACTCTAACACACGAAAATGACTTTTATCTTTACACCACTCTTATCACACAAAAATGACTTTTGAATTTCCCTATCAAACTGAATCAAACTGTCATTTGTTTTCATGCTCTATTGGTTGTTACATTGTATTTGATTCAACAAATCAAATTTTAGAAAAATACAACATCTTTGGAGATACATAATAAATATTTTAGCTTTAATGTTAAGTACCTGTATCTCACTTCAATACTTGACGACCTCAAAGTAGTCAGTCAACTTGAATATCTTTATCAGCCTGACAGAAAAGACGTCAATTCAAAACAGTAATTGACGTCGGATCATCGATTAAGATGATATTAGTTATATTTTCCTCTGGTCTATGAACTTCGTCAATTTCGAAATAATTGGTTTTCAATGCTCTGATACTTCGTTCTTTATTTAGCCTCTTAACTTTTTTGATCCGAGCATCACTGATGAGCCTTTTTTAGACGAAACGTGCGTCTAGTGAACAAAATTATAATCCTGGTATGTTTTATGAGGTTTTTTTCATATACTGTATTTGAACTGACTGTACATGATCGAGGTATATTAAAAAACATGGCAACCAAACATGACAATTTAACGAATAAATGAACATTCAACTTTCAACGACAGGGTGTCATCAAAGTCGTACTTTAACCTCTACCTCTCTCCAAATATAGAACTTGAACAATGGAAAAGCTTGTGTCAAAATACCAATTACGTAAATCATACGTACAAGAAATGGGAAACATTCAGTTTCTCAAGGGTCTGTTGTCCTCAGTTCCATTAGGAATCTAGTTTGTACTGCTTGAAACAATTTGTTGGATTATTTCGTTGATAAGTGAAACAGTTTGATATCCAACATTACACACATAATTGTTTGGTAAATTTTAATCTTATTCAGAGCGAAAGAAGAAGGGAAATTCATCCTCAATTTGTCCTACGGTATTCAGTAAACATTACCAACCTTTTTTCATCAGATATTTATTCCAAACTGGATGAGAAATATAAAGAATCAACTGTGTTTTGATGATGTATCTTTCTTGCATTGTATGCAGATTATACTTTATGCAAAGTATCAATTCAACTTCTTCAAGGATACTGGGGAAATCATTGCTAACATACATTGATTGAACAAAGATAGCTCATAAACAAACATGCATATATTTTTTGTAAATAGCAATAGACAAATGTTATAAAAAGATTTGAAGCTTAAAATCTAAAGAGAGCTAAAGGAATTGGAAAGATGCAATCCTCAAAATGTTCTGAACCTATACAATTACTATTTCGATACATGTTCTCGGTTTTGTCGTAGTAAAGGACTTTTTGTAAATCAAATTTTTTTCACACTTTTTTACCCTTTATAAAAATAATTGGGGTATTTACTAGTCAAGAACAAGAAATAGCAAATCTCTAAATTGTTAACAGAACAACTTAATTTATCGAGTTATTTGGTTTCTTTATGGCACGCCTGAACCACTTTTATTAATTAATCTTAGATTATCTCAGATAAACTAGGATTATCTCAGATAAACTAGGATTATCTCAGATAATCCCGGTTTATCTCAGATAAACTAAGATTATCTCAGCTTAATTCAAATTCGAGAAAATCATAGTTTATCTCAGAAAATACAGAAAATTCATTATCTGGAGAAAATCCCGGTTTATCTCAAAATATTAAGAAAATCTAGGTTTTTCTGATCGATTTTCAGATAATCCTAATTTATCTCCAGATAATTAATTTTCTCAATTTCAGATAATGAATTATCTCATTTCTCGAGAAAATCTAGGTTTATCTCGGATTCTAAATATACAAAAGAACAACGTAACGAGTGTTTTAATTGGACGACGATCCGGCGTTTAACGTTTTACTTTCTCTTTGAAACCATGATGGTGACGAATTCACTTCCTATTATTGGGTGAACGGGGATGTGCCAAAATATGGGTCATAATTTTGCGAGATTTTATATAAAAATTAGCGTCCTTTTTCAGAGGAGGGGCGACATTCAGCTTACGGCACGCAATTTTTACTTATATTATTGATCGATCGCTGTGTTATTGTGTCATTTATCACTACTCGTGGTGTGAACATCACCGTTATTGACACCTGGACAAGGAAATTTGTTGAATCAATTATAAAAACAAGTAATATACAGAAGGGCTGATTATATACAATATACCGGCATATACTTTGTACATACATAAAAAAACAAATTTGGTAGCTATTTCTTTTACACAAACTGACTGTTTATTACCGACGGCTAATTTCGACATCGATAATCATTGAATTCTCATATTTTAATTCATTCAGTCGGTTTTAATTTTTTAATCGTGACAAAGTTTTGTAAAATGTTTAATTTTAACTATTGCATTATTTCGTCATTTGTCAGTAAACAAAATAGATAGCACTAGAAAGAAGGCAACTAAGTAATCCAATACACATAATGCACGATTCAATTATGGAAAAAACAATTATTTCATCATGGTTATTCATTAGACATAATTTTCATTTTGTTTTCAAAATAATTAAATACATAAGAGTTTATATGCCACGAACCTTAAAGCGCCAGTTATTAAAAGTAGGATATAAACAATAAATGTACATTGTCTGAATACAAAATGTGTGTGTACTCGCTAACACGGGTGTCATTCGGTTTATCGAGAGAAATTATCGTGAAAGAATATCTAACGGAGGTCAAGTATTGCGAGACGATCGTGAAAGCTCTGGTACCGGATCGTGAAAGAAATTTAATCGAGAAGAGATATGAAAAGTCATCAAATAATCTAATTTAAATAATTACACGGACAAATTTACAACAAAATAAAACTGTCTGTCAAAATGGTTGAACATTATGATCAGTATGTGAGAAAATCCAGTTCTAAAAGTACATAGTTTTTACAAAACAACAAAAGGCATATTGCTCCTCGACATTTCAGTGACATCAAAAATGTAAACAAATATGATTTTTTCACAAATTCCAATAAAATAAACTATTTTTCTTCGAAAAAGGGCATTCTATTTGAATGCATCAAATGGATCTCATAGTTATTTTGTATAAACATAATCTGAAACTTGGTACAAAAAGAAATATTCACACAAAATTGATATTTCGGATCGTGAAAGATCACGTACCGGTTTTTAAGATCGTGAAAAGGATCGTGAAAGATCTAATGCTACGACGACGTTCATATTATTCTTCAATTATATGATAATTAATATTTGTTATTGGTATTAAAAAAAACTAGATTGGCATGACTGACCCGGGTCTCTTTTGCTGGTGAATAGGGCTATAATCGTGCAATGCCATTGGATCTAATATCTTATAATACCACACAGACTTGGTAAATTGTATCAATACCAGTCCATTTGTCCGTCCTTCATAAGTATTGTTTTTTTTATACATTAAGATGTTTTATTTTGTATTTATAACTTTGAATTCTCATTTTTATGCCCATTATATTTATAAAGCTTACATACCTGTATGCTATAGGGCCACGGTATTTGGTGTATGGTGTACATGTCTGTCTGCATGTTTCATATATGACGTCAATTGTATTTGATATATTGAATGATAGTAAGATGTCTGTGTCTGACTGTCGGTCAGGGTTCATATACTTTCGACCTCATGTTCCGAATTAATTGGCCAAACATAACTTTTACATTTGTCAGTTTCTAAGGTACTGTAAGCATCGGAACACCTATATTTGGTGTACGGGATTTTTGTAGAGATCTGTATGTCATGGTTCATCTGACCTTGACCTTTTTTTATGAATCATTGACAATTTTAAGAGTATGTGACACTTCTAGTAAAATCCTTAATATTACAGAAGTTCAACAAATATACTATCATAAGTAAAGCAGACGAGAAATTTCAGCATTTGCGCTCTGGTATTCTTTATTCTGTAATATATAGTTGTCTCATTGGAAATCAATCCACATCTGCTACGTTGTATACAAAGATACATATAACAAACAAAATGTTGGTTATCGTTCAATCTCAAATATTTCATGAAAGATGCTGTTTTTGCTATAAGTTTTTGGTTGATGGTTAACTTTTTGGTTTAAACGTTGCATACCAATATTATTGGCTAAATAATGGCAGTCTGCCTGATTTATGCTAGTCCGATTCTCAGAGCTGAATTTTTCACACTGATTTATACACGTTTTAAGTTAATTTTTTTTAACTTTAGAGGTAAAGTGTTGAATTTAAAAAACAAATGATAGCTTTCATGTTCGTTCTTATCAAAAAAGTTACAGGCTTCAACCAGTTGCAGGTATATCAAATGGTAAAAGAAATATTGATTTCTGATTATTAAGTCTGGTCACGCATTATCTTTCACGATCAAAATAATGCGTTGCCTGATCTATCACGATCAAGTTTGGTGAAAAATTTCTTCTATCATCTATGTTTATCTATTTACTCGTAAACAAACAATATTTTCATGATCATTAACTGTGTGTCTTTTCATTTAGGAAACATATCTTATTCCATTTATGTTTCAGTTACCAGAGCTAGTCAGGCATGGATGTGGAAGTGTGAAGACAGTTTGCTATCACAACATTGGAATGATATTTGGGGCATTTATTCTTGTTGTTATAGCAGTTTTTGAAGAGCATATAGATGTTCATTAATATTGAGATAATGATTTAAACTGGTACATTCGGCATAAACTATCTTATCTTAAAACTCAACTCTACAGTTCAGTGTCCTAGCAATTTTTTCAATGCATTTGGATTTGTTGTAAATATTATTCTTTAATGTTACTTGTCCAATTTATCGTCATTCGTAAACTACAGTTTTTCGTGTCCTTCTCCCTCCAAATCATCGGAAACACAACAATCTGTCAGTCTTTTAGGATTGACGAAATACTAACTTCAGTGTACACAACAAGTGTTTCTTAAATAACTTTATCAGGTACGCTTGAAACTGAACATTATGATCCTATAGAGTTAACTTCCTTTATGTGATTGACAACTAAAGATTTATAATGATCATATAGCGTGTAAAAAAACATTAACGATAAGATGTAATAAAGAGTTGACAAATTGATGTTAAAACCCCAAAAAACACAAATAAGACGACGGTATGGACCTCAGTTTTATATGAAGTCATTTAATGTTGAGATACTAGTTAATTAATTTCTAGTTGTGTTTTCTAGGAAATCACTTTATTTAAGTCTAAAACACAAATGTATGAAAATGATGTCGTATTTTGTTTTCATATTCATTGCAGTTTTTTGTATAGATATTTAGAATTGCTGAACTGATTTTGTAATGAAAGCATTGTAATTTGTCCAATGAAACATGTTTTGTTATTACTGACGTTTCATTTATTGTCATTATTTAAATATGTGTTGACACATAAAATGTTGACTGAAAATGTCTCATTTCATATCGAGTTATATGGGTTTTTAGTCAGATCAAAGAATAATTTCAAGAAATCCGATAAAAAATTTAAAAAAAAACAATTGTTAACTAGATATATAGGAAATGTTTGAATATTGTTTTGCTCGATTATATTAGTAAATATTATTCATGAGCTTACAAACAGATTATACAATCTGTCTGATTGAAGGTGTTTTCTGCAAATGTATATGTTACAGGTGTCAAATGTTTGCGGTTGTTGGTTCTCTGTCTCTGGTAACCATCTGCTACTGTCTATCTTCATTTTTACAATAAATTTGTTTACATACAAGTCGATTTGTTATCCATTTTTTTTGATACAACATACATATATTAAAGGTGAATCATAAAGCAATCAAACAATATATACTTACATACAATGTACGTTAACGTTAACCCAAATATCTTAGTAAGAGAGAGACAGAAGATATTCAAACTTATAAATCGAAGACCAACTGATAAACGCCATGGCAAAAAACAACAGACAACAAAACACAACAAAGAATACCGACGAAAGAGCAACACAAACCCTACAAAAAAACCGGGGTGGGGGGAGGGGGGGGGGGGGGGGGGGGGGGGGGGTAAGCAGATCCTGTTTCATGTTTGGAACCCGTTGTGTTGCTCATGTTAGTACAAATTGGAACATATCCATCGTCATCTGTGAAAACTCAACAGAGATAAACAGATATTTGAAAACGGCCAATTAACTCGTGATGGCGTTAGTATATTCATGCTGAAATGGCTGTGAGATAATTCGAGGTTTAACAGGTATAATACTTAATTTAATCCGCCACTGTCATTCGAAATTGTCTTTTCCGAAATAATGAATATGATGGAACCTTTTCATGTCCACGAATTCTACTTTCCAATTGTGAATTTTCCTCCTCATACGCAACATTCCAACACCGTTTGCATTGGAGTATATACCTTTCAGTTGATACGACCTAACAGAGCTTGTGTATCGTCTCCTGTACATCGAAACAATACCCCTTCATTTCTATGTTATACTGCAAATAGCACACTACCTATTGACTTTTTTTTACCAAATCCAGTAACAAGGTGATAATTCGTGCAGTAGCACGTTGCGTTATTTCTCTTCAAAGGTTGGGGATCGTTTAGGGATGGTAAACCTCGCCATTTCACAGTTTCTAATAAGCCTCATAAAAAACAGGCTGAACTTTTTTCTGACATTTACCTAATTTTGTATTAAAATGTATTAACAACAACTTAAGCTCAAAAAGGGTAAATCCAAAAAAATGATAAAATTAAATGATAGACGTTATCAAAATTTCGATAAGTACACGAGAGTGCAAGTCGGCACATATCTAATTGAAAGTGTGGTGTGGTGAATGTAATATGCTAATTTACCTATTTTTATTAAGAATGACATTTATTGCAAACATCAATTTTGATAGAAATCACAATTGCGTAACAGATTTGTACACTGGATTATTATAAAAACTGATGTTGTCAAGCTGGTACCATACAAATAACGACTTTAAAATTACAAGGTTACGTAAAACGAACCAAGTAAACGTTTATTTCTATCTATAATATTAAGACAAAGGTAATATGATATCCAATAAAAAATTATCTAACACTTATCAGACATATTACAAAGTTTTAGATCAATTTAATACATATACATTTTGTCATTGATAATACAGTGATGATCTGTTTTGTACATAAATAACCCCTTAATGAACCCTTAAGATAGATGATAAGATAATTTTATTGGTTCAAAATCCAAAACTATAGGATTGTTACCAAGACAATACAAAAACATACAAACAAAATCTGACCACATTTATAAACATTATATATATATAACTGTATGTCTCCTCCATTATAAAAAGAAAATATTGTTACAATAATAAATGAATGTATATAATCTCTGCTGAGGAGGTGGTACCACAAAGTTATTAAGAACTCAATAAAGCATTTCTAGAATTATACATGGTGCTTATGAATTTTACAATAATTTTAATTATATCAGTCTCATCACAGGTATACAAAAATTTAAATCTTGCTTCATTAGTCATATTTAAAAAAGAGGGAACTATTATGACTTATGACTAACCAGGATGCAACAAAATGTGTGTCAAAAAGTATTCGGTAAATAAGGCAACTTCAAACTTTAATGTTTCTTTATTAGTATAAAAGTTTATTACACTTTTAAACATTTCTCCCTAAAAAGTGTTTTGAATATTTAATTTTCGTGTTAACATTGAAGTAAAATGTGTAGATTTAATGTGAAATACCTTAACCCATTTTGTTATTTAATAGTGCTTGGTACAGACATGATTTTCAACAAACATTTCTTAAATTCTCAGTACTTAAATTGGGAAATTATAAAAAAATTCTAACTATCTCAAGTTGACCTGAAAAAAATTTGACTATTTTTCATGTCTCGTTATGTCATATAATTCTTAAAGTGTTAAGGTCTTATATGTTGCAATTCTGTAAATATAGACAATGCAACTTCCCATAGGAACTCCCTTTGCGGCTAAAACTGTGCCACTTTTACTAGGAAGTTTCGTGAAAAATTATATCCCAGAACGGAAAGTTGATATGCACTACTATTTTATTCAAAGGTCAAAATATAGGGCTGTGCGGCATATTTTCAACATTTATATGCCCTGAACTTCTAAGAGTTTAAACTTATACTAAAACTCTATACAACCCCTACCTCCACTTTTGGACCTCCTAAGAATTAAATTTTAGGCGCTACCATTTTTTTCTATAATGGCAACATTCTCAAGTTATGCCTCTATGAGATGAAACACAGAGATCATATCTGGGAACCAGTACGTTAACAAATAAACATATCTATGAATATTATATATCTCCCCAAAAGAGGCGTGGCTTGTGAACCAGCTGTATTTACAAAGTGCAACCTATAAATCCTTGGCTTTCAAATGTTTGGATTGAGTGTTCCTGATGAAGGTAAATCCTGACAAGCGCTTGAGACGCACGAAAGTTATATCAGAAGTCCGATAAGATATACCGGTTTATATTCATTAACAAACCAATGTTCCGTGTTGAAGGCCGTACTTTGACCTATAATTGTTTACTTTTTACACAGTGTGACTTGAATGGATAGTTGTCTCATTGGCACTCATACCACATCTTCTTATTTATACATTAGTTATGTACCTCTTCATTCATGAAATGTAAATATGTCTTTTAATGGCGGTCATTTTGAAAAGATATTGTAAAGTAAAATTCCACATTATATGCTTTATAATTATGCATTTGATATAACAGGTATGGAATAAACGGCAATGAGACATCACAGAAATAAAACAAACAAAATTTTATCAAAACAAGTTTATCAAAGTGAGTTCTTCAACAATTTTTTTATATGGGTTTCTGCATACAAAGCAGCATTGAAATAAAGGTTTTAAATGGAAAGATTCATGCCATGTTTCTAAATTTTATGGATACCGTTATGTCTTATTTGATTGACATAGAATGGCTGTATAACAAATAAACACGGATATCGCCACATACCATGCTGCATTCTTTGTTTAGGATATAACCAATTGCAACTTTTTGTCTGATTTAAATGTTAATGAGCAACACGACAAGAACCTTACAGGGATCTAGATTTGCATCCCCTCTGTGTTCTTGAATACCCGAGTTCGTCCCCAGGTTTTAATGGAGTTCATGTTGCTCAATTGTAGTTATCTGTTGAATGTGTCGTTTCTTTTCTATTATTACCATGGTGTAGCCTGCTTTTTTTGTATAAATGCTACTTAATTTCCTCCTTGGTATTATCTCTATTTCAATGAAGTTTATTTTAATCGGTCTACCGAAGACTAATTAGTATTCGCTATTTTCTTTGTTTCAATATCAACAGATCAACACAGTAAGCAGACCTTCGATCAAAATAAGCCTGATACAAATGAAAGAGCAAGTCGGCGAGAAGATGAGCATGGTTTGTTCTAAAAATATCGTCAATCAATTCTAATTTAAGTACATATCGCAATAGATTTACATTTGAACGCGACCTTGAACGACTACAATCAAACAACAAGTTTACGGGTCACCTTCACGAATTGGTTGACCGATATAATGTGTCTGTGTCGCAACCATGTTTTCGCGGTGTTAGATCTTTAGATACCAGAATAGTTGTCTGGTTTGTAATTTTACCGACTGTGTCCTATTTCCGAATATAACGATTTGATTGGATAGGAATTTGCGCGGCAACCGGTCATGCTTCTTTTGGAGGTCATGTGATTCTTTCAGTTTTCTTATTTACATTGGTTTGAGTCTTTTAAATTTAATCATGATATTAGAGAGCCTCCTCGTGGGTTTGTTTTATTGTGTCATTACTTGGCCGTTTTTATAGTGATTATTTGATTACCAGACCAAATATTTCATGATTAATTGATTATTTGATAATCTAGAACTGTATTTTTGATTATTTGATTATCTTGTTTAAAAAAATAATTAATGATTTTGTGATTATATTGGCAAAAAAATTGTGGTTACGTGATTACTTGGACCCCCATGAGGGGCCTCATTACGGTAAACTACTGCTGCTTCTATTTGTAGTGTCACAATAATATCAAGCATTCAAAACGAAATATCATTATTGAATCGAATGTAGGAAATGTTGGATATTTGTTATAGAGGCAGCAACTAAACGACTTAAAAAGAACGAATCATACAAATGCAAATGCTTTTGCTATTATAATGTACCATTACAATACGACTTACCTGAAAGGTACAACATAATTTGTAAACCCTATTTGTACACCGACGACTGTTTACAGGTGTATGGCAAATGGAATTCGTCTATAAGAAAATCGTACTTCCGATTAGTTTTTACGTTGATTCACATGTATCAAAATAAAAAGGTGTGGTCTGATTGCCAATGAAACAACTTTCCATCGGAGACGAAATGACGTAGGAAATAGCAAGTATAGGTCACCGTAAGGACTTCAACCATGACCAAAAACCGCATGGCAAACTATAAATGAAAGGCGAAAGATAAGAAAGGTATTTGTATATTCAAACACATAAATCGATGAAAAACTGACAACGCCGTGTAAAAAAAACACAAAACGACCAAATGACAAGCTAACAGTATGCAAAACCCAACATAATAAGCTGAATAAGACCGAGCAACACAAACCCCACCAAAACCGGGGGTGACTTCATGTGTTCCAGAAAGGAAAGTAGATTCTGCTCCACATGTATCACCTGTCGTGCTGCTCATGTGAGTAAAACTCGGCGATAAGTCTAATTCGGGGGTGTCACATTCGAGGGGATTGTGGCTACAACAATTGAAACATATCCGTCGTCAACTGTGAAACAGATATACATAACGGTCAACCTCATGATGGCGTCCGTAAATTTTTTTCGAAAGTATGACTTCTACTTCATCACTTGGAACCCTTGGTTAAATATATTTATAAGAGACCCCCGCATGACATATGTAAAACAAGTCAAAGTACAATAGACGAAAACATATATTATATACAGGCACAATATGTTATGTGTTATTGATCTAAATATAAATTCGACTGTATTATAAAAGAATATTGTGGTAACAACATGTAACTACATATCAAATCTTTATATTGAATCCTTGTTAATGTAATGTTGCCAAGTGTAATCCTGCAAACTATGCAGTTAAAGGTTATGGTTAACGATTTGACAGAGATTGATGATTAATTGTTTATGTCATAAGTACAGACGACAGTTACAAGCTTTGACTTCTACCGTTTCTTTTTTGCACATGCTATTTATAAAGCAACACCTATTAGGAGTGTTTACAATGTTTGCCAGTATTTATGAACGTCAGAATTTTAAATTTAAATAATAATCCTTTAATGCACCCCATTCATTTAACAGGATGCAATGAAAACATTTAAAATAGGATCCCAATCTGACGTTAGGAATTCTCTCATTTTCTTATATACGTGAAAGTGTAAGTACTATTTGTTATATTTTATTGTTGAGTGTTTCTACAATGTTGATTTGTTTTTCTTTTAAAAATGCGCCAAATATATTCGAACAATTCAAAGTTTTGTAAAAAGTAAGTTTATAATTATGGCATAGCAGTGATAGTTCATGTCACAGAAGTGCTGACTACTGGGCTGATGATACTCTCATGGAGGACACCTCCACCAGATAATTTGTATCAGTAATGATTTTTTTTTTTTTTTTTTTTTTGAAATATCTATGTTTCTTAGAGAATTTCACTGGCTAAGTCTTATTTCTGGAATGTTCAACAAAAGTTATCTTATATGCTAAGCAATATAGATTCATAAAGTTCCAGATCCAATTATATAATATATTGTTTTCATTACAAGGAATTACTTACCCATGATTACTATTCATGAGCACCTGGTGAAAAATCCGTGTTTTTATTTATTTTGGAATGATGATTACTACCACAATTATTTTTGTAGCATATTTTTTGACAGTTTATTCTCCCTCAGTCTTGTTTTGATCATTGAAGTAGGAAGTGCTGACATCTCACGAGTAATTACCTTCACCCCTGTTTTTAGAGTGGTTCGTGTTGTTCAATTTGAATGTTTTCTGTAAAGGGTTTGTGAATTGTTGTTAGGTTTTTTCGTTGATTAATTTGTAGCAATCGTTGTCGGGTTTTTTTTTCGACTAGTGATTTTTGATTGTTTTCTTTGTATATTAGTATACTTCATTTGATTCATATCCCTTGCAGCAACAAAGTTCAAATGTTTAGACAAGCAAGTAAGAAAGTATCTTCCAGGGGATAAAGTAGTATTACATTTTTCCGGCTTTAGGTTTGCCTTTCGTGTACCCAAAGCAGGCGACGGAAGTCAACTTAGGAGCGCTGTGATTTGATGTAAAAGTACAATATATTTTTGTATTTTTTTATGAATAAATGCAATGTGTATATTTACAATATAAATTTTAAAACTCATTAAAATATTTCTTGAGAATTATTTGAAAAAGCTTTCAAATTTTCATAAATTTGATGTAAAATGACAGTGGGCATGGATACCATAAACAAGCTCCGTTCATAGATGGTAATGATACCTTTTGACTTCAATTTCTAAAACAAAAGAATAATGAAGTTTTTATAACACACATAACTGTTTTGTGCAGGTTTTTTTCAAAAAAAAAGTGGTAAATTTAGAAATGTTAGTGTTGTTGCCTCTGGAAGAATAAATACTACCGCTTTCCCCCAAACGACTTTAGTTTCTTATTTGTCTTTTCCCTATGATTGATTCAAAACAGACAAAAATGTATTTAAACTTTTTGCTATTGTGGATGGTGATGTAGGTTTGATTGATTTCAGTCTTTAACGGGCATGTTCTATCACCGAAAAGAATTTCTTACATGACAAGTGAATGTATATTTACCTGTGGTGTTCTTTAATCAAAAAGACGTTATCCGTCTATGTGCATTTATTATGCAACCGTACTAAATACGACGCAGTACATTTTACCTGTGAGATTAATTATCACCAGTTTCGTCACCACAAAATACATTACTTTGAAATGTGTAACTTATGCATTATGTTAATCAAAAAGTTTGTACATATTGATATTTCGTTATCAAAATCTCTTTCATTTTAACCACGTAATTTGTTTTGCCAGCGATTGAACTTGTTCAACTAGTACAGATGTCAGATTTAGTTAATTATTTTCAAATTGATGCACTTCTCTCTTTTATACATCACGTCAAATCAGATTTTATTCAGTTTAAAACAGTAACGTTAATCTTGACGTATCCTGAAATACTTGGAATCACGAATTAGTAATGTGTATATTGTTGTTTGTCTTTTGGTCGGTTTTCGTATTTTTGCTATAGTGTAGTCAGTTCGTTTTTGACATATTCATTTGAACATCCCTTTGGTATCTTTCGCTTCTCTTTTATGGACTGTTGTTTGTCCTTTTCTCCTTTCTTGGTTTTGTCATGGTTTTGTCGGTTTCTCTTCGACTTTAATTGTCCGTTTGGTATCGTTCGCGTAACACCTTGAGAGGCAAATTGCTTTTATTATTATTCATGTATTTTATTGGCGATTTAAATGGTAGTTAGACATTTATTTGTCTATCCTCAGTACTTTTTTTTATTTTTTAGTCGATTTAATCCGTTTTATTTGCGAAGAACACTTATTTTAATTGTTTTAAAATATATATTTTGATATACAGTTGAATGGTTAATAAAGATTTAGGCTGTGTTAAGCAATATTTGCAGAATATAATTTTCTTACATACATTTGTAAACTTATAACACACTACGAGTATTTCCCAAAACAAATGATTTCAAAAAGGTTACGATAAATATCAGTATTATTAGTAAAACATAAAGATAAAAAAAAAAGTAGAACATAACTTTTTTTAGTCGATTTAATAAAGCTTTCAGTAGCCGCTAGGTATTGTTTGAAATAAGTGAACAACAATTGTTAACTTTTTTAAAAATAAACTAAACTGACTGTTATTGATCGCCAATGACGTAATTAACCTTTTCATAATCTAAAGGATTGTGGGTAATTTCATTGTTTGTACCCAAAAATGAAAATAACGTCTCGTTATTGGTTGAATTCACATTGTTTAGGACGTTGAAAGCCAACCACAACGTTTTTGGTGTACGCTTTTGAAAATACTACACAGAATGCATTAGATTCTAAAACAGCGCAATTGGACAATACGTTTCTAACTGAAATGTTATGCTTTGTCAATATTCTATTAGGTTTCAATTGCAAATGTTTGCAAGTAAACTAGGTATAAAATGGCTACGCAAAATTAACTACCTAACACCTGTTTTCTTTAGCCTTTAGCGGTTGATATGCATTCCCACGTTTATTATTTTTTTTTGCTTTTAAAACTTTAAATTTCGAGGATTTGTTTCGCATTTAAAATCGAATTTTCACTTTGTTTGGGTTTTACAGATCGGATAAAGACCAATTTTGAATCTATTTTCTAGAAATATCAAAAGGGCGTTTTTCAGTTTTCGTCAATGCGATAGCTCAACAAGACACCAAGAACACAAAAAAAGTCAAATTACGTTCTAAAAGTGTCTTTACCATATGTCAATCTCTTAATCGCCTTGGAAATGCTAAATAGAGTCCACCATGAATGAATATTATAAATAGAGTCCACCGTAAATGAATATCATAAATAGAGTCCACCATAATGAATATCATTGATTAGTTATATCGGATGCTGTTAACCTTTTGAGGATTTTGTTTTGCATTTAGCCCTTTAAAGTGGATTTCGTAGCTAATCATTTTAGCGATTTTCTGACTTATATTATTGTATTAATATATGGTAAGATACCAGTTTGACATTTCAAGACGATTTATATTCGCGTTAATTTTCTAATAGCTGTTGTATTCCTCTTATAGTTGATGTGTGTTCCCTCGGTTTTGGTTTGTGACCCGGATTTGTTATCGCTTAATCGATTTATGACTATTGAACAGCGATATACTACTGTTGCCTTGTAACTTTAACCAAAATCTTTAGTTTGTGTCAATGCAGTTAGAAATATTATAATCCGTTTATGTCTCCTTCACATACAAGGATTTGCTTACGAGTCCTTACACAAATTCACGTATCCTTATAATTTGGCTACTTAGCGTGTCTCCGAGTTGTTGCGAACTGTAACTTGCTATTTACGGATACCGGCGTGTTATTTACGGATGCTTGCGATTTACTAAAAGTTGATAATCCGTAGTGACTCGTTGAAAGAATCCGTGTGTGTGAAAGGGGCTATTTTTGAAAATTATTCAAAATACATATTAGCGTATGAATTTAAATGACTTAATTCGTCACTGTGTGTCACTAAATGCATTTAATAATTTGTATTATCAGGAAAATCTTTCTTGCTGGTTTTAACATGAATTGTATGATCTACTTACCTTTACTATGCAACAGTAATGATCAATTTTGTAAAATGCAATGAAGGAAAACAAGATCAGTTTTAGTGCACAAGTATTCTAATGTCAGTTTAAATTCAGTTTAAATCTGATTTAAATCCTAGGGCATACAGGTATAATATTTAAAAACAGACGATCAAGCTAAAGAGTTTAAAATGCTTCAGGCAAATAAATAAAAATTCAAGATAAAGATTTTGGCTTTCTAACTTTTGGTTTCGAGCATAACTTTAAGTAATTCAACAACCACAAAATGTCCCTCCGGAGACTTTGTCATGTATTTGTACTAACACTTGGTTGTCAATGCAATCTTTCAGTTTTTACATAATTTGAATACATGAAATAAATACGTTGTGTCTGTAAGTTTACAGTTCATAGGATTCTAAGCAAGTAAAAACCTGCAGACAGTGTTTACCTTAGACGTTGTGTCTGTAAGTTTACAGTTCACATGATTGTGTTTTTTAGTTCTAAGCAGGTTAAAACCTGCAGGCAATGTTTACCTCAGACGGTTTTGACTGTTCAAGGTATGCCTTTTCGTGTTTTTTTTATTTTAAAAGCTTTCCAAAGTTTATGAGATAGCATGAAACCACAAGGAACAAATAATGAGAAGAGAACCAACAAGGTCAAAAGTCAACTTTCTCATGAGATAGCATGAAACCCGAAGGAACAAATAATAAGAAGAGAACCAGCTAAGTCTAAAGGCAACTTTGTCATAAGATAGCACGAAACTAAAATGAATCGTCAATCTACCGGCAGGGATACTGACCCATCGATAGAAAATCGATACTATTACACCGATTTCATGGAAAATAAGATAATGGTTAGACCTGTATAGAAAAATGAGACACCGAATGATATTATTGGCATTACTTATGTCCCATACACCAATTATTCATAGTGTACATCCTGGTATATTGTGTCTCTAAATGTTGTTTCTAAAGGCTACAGCAGTTTACAGATGTCTCGTAAATAGATAACGAACAGACAAATCAAGGTAACAAACAATCACTGAGGGAATCACACCAACTCCACAAAAAAAAGGGACTATCGGAGTCGTTGTTCTT